GGGCAGAGACAGCCTGGACAATTCCTATTGGCTTTGGAAAGCCAATAGAATTAGACTCTATTCAAGAGAGTCTATTCTATTGGCTTTCAAAAGCCAATAGAATAAAAGGGAGGAGCACAGCTAAGGAAAAGGGGGGAAAAATGACGGACTGCGTTGTTTGGCGACCCCCGTGAAATGGTCGTTCGACCCCAAATGGGGTCCTGACCCACAGGTTGAGAACCACTGCCCTAGACCATTTCAATCAATCAATCAATCCATCCATCAGAATAGAGCTGGAAGGGACCTTGGAGGTCTTCTAGTCCAGCCCCCTGCTCAAGCAGGAGAGCCTGGACCATTTCAATCAATCAATCAATCAATCGATCGATCAATCCGAATAGAGCTGGAAGGGACCTTGGAGGTCTTCTAGTCCACCACCCCCCCATGCTCAGGCAGGAAAAAAGATCTATTTAGTTCCTATATTCATGGCAGCCCTCTTGACTTTTCTGACCAGATCCCCAAGAAGGGGTAAGAAAATGCACGCCACATCTCCAAACAAGAAGGACCGTATCCTTTGCATGACGCTTGAACCCTGAGCAAATGGAAGATGCAAGGAGGGGTGGAGGCTGCCTCTGCTAATGAATTAACATCAGATTCATCTCATCTCTTTGATGCAATGTGTCAGGGTTATCCAACCTGGAGAACCTTTAAGACTCTGTGGACTTCAATTCCCAGAATTCCCCCAACCAGCTGTCCACAGGCCCTCACGTGGCCAAGGTTGGCCAATCCTTGCAATATATCAAACCAGCTGCAAATTGTTTTGCAACCAGCATTAGGAAAAAAAAAAAAAAACGATCCCAGCATTTCCTGGTCCAAAAAAATTAAAATTTAAACCGTCCCGAAACCCCAGCTGGGATAATCCTATATAAGGTCACCTCAACCTCTGAATGGGCTCCAGACCTATCTGTCGCCTGCCTTTGCTCAGTTTCCGAGATCTGCCGGCATCCCAGGAAGTCCTCGACTTAACGACGATTAAGGGAGCCTGGCCACGACGGTTGTAAAATCATCAGGTGACATTAAATTGTGATTTATTTATTTATTATTATTATTATTTGCAAAGGTCTTTCAGCCAACGCGGCAGTCGTAAAACGAACTCATTGTTTGCTACGGGATGGGTTTTTTTTTATTATTATTCTTTGCCGGAAATCAGTAGTAAACATAACTTGAGGACTTCCTGTAGACTAATATAGGATGTCAGCTAATACTGAAGAATATTTTTCAAATGGTTTTTTTTCTGCATAGTTGCATCTTGGAAGACCTGCACCCAACGTCGTGGCAGTGAAGGAAGAAGCGTCTGATCGGATGTAGCCAACGGTCAGCCAGGGTCCAACGGCATCTGGAATTCAAGTCCTCAACTTGCGACCACAATTCAGCCTGAAATTTCCGTCGCTAAGCGAGACGGTGGCTAAGTGGACTTTGCCCCCCTTTTTACAACCTTCCTTGCCACCGTTGCTAACCCGGTTGTTGGTCATAAAAGGTCATAAAAGAGGATCACGTGACCCCGGGACACTGCGACCGTCATAAATACGAGTCGGTGGCCGAGCGTCTGAATTTTGATCGCGTGACCCCGGAGGTGCTGCGACGGTCGTTAAGTGTGAAAAAAGGTGATAAGTCACTTTTTTCAGTGCCCTTTTTTCAGTGCCTTTGAACAGTCACAAACGGTTGTGAGTCAAGGACTACCTGTAGTAAGCTTGTAGTATGCATTACTACCTGTAGTAAGCTCGTAGTATGCTGCAAGTGTAGCAGCCCCAAGCCTACGGACCAGTGGGTCCACCATTTCATCAATGTTAAACTCCTGGATTATTTTTCCTGAAGAGGCTGGACTTTCTCCCGTCCAAAGGCAGGAGTTGCCAGCACGGAGGAATTGGCTGGGATTTCTGCAAACTTCTTACTAATGTATTATTGGACACGAAAGCCGTTGTGATCCACTCTCGCGCAAATGGATTAAGTGGCAAGCCTTCTCTTCCGCCGGCTCAATCCGGCTTCTCGGCGTCTGTGTAATGGATAAGCATAAAAGGTCTACTCGGAGCTTTGGAAGGCTGTGGGATACAAGTGGTAGCAACTATAAGGCACCCGCCTCTCTCCAGCAGAATAACGGAATTGGAAGGGACCTTGGAGGTCTTCTAGTCCAACCCCCTGCTCACGCGGGAGACCCTGGACCATTTCAATCAATCAGTCAATCAATCAATCAATCAATCAAAATAGAGCTGTAAGAGATCTTGAAGGTCTTCTAGTCCAGCCCCTTGCTCAAGCAAGAAACCCTGGACAATTTCAATCAATCAGTCAATCGATCAATCAATCAATCAATCAATCAAAATAGAGCTGGAAGGGACCTTGGAGGTCTTCTAGTCCAGCCCTTTCCTCATGCGGGAGACCCTGGACAATTTCAATCAATCAGCCAATCGATCAATCAATCAATCAATCAATCAAAAGAAAGCTGGAAGGGACCTTGGAGGTCTTCTAGTCCAACCCCCTGCTCAAGCAGGAGTCCCTGGACAATTTCAATCAATCAGCCAATCGATCAATCAATCAATCAATCAATCAAAATAGAGCTGGAAGGGACCTTGGAGGTCTTCTAGTCCAGCCCCCTGCTCATGCGGGAGACCCTGGACAATTTCAATCAATCAGTCAATCAATCAATCAATCAATCAAAATAGAGCTGGAAGGGACCTTGGAGGTCTTCTAGTCCAGCCCTTTCCTCATGCGGGAGACCCTGGACAATTTCAATCAATCAGCCAATCGATCAATCAATCAATCAATCAATCAATCAAAAGAAAGCTGGAAGGGACCTTGGAGGTCTTCTAGTCCAGCCCCCTGCTCATGCGGGAGACCCTGGACAATTTCAATCAATCAGTCAATTGATCAATCAATCAAAGAATCAATCAAAATAGAGCTGGAAGGGACCTTGGAGATCTTCTAGTCCAGCCCCCTGCTCAAACAGGAGACCCTGGACAGTTTCAGACAAACGGCTTAATTATCCAGCGCTGCGTACATCAGCACTAACGATGGTTGCCATCTTCAACGCCTTTGCAGATGTTGTTGTGATAGCGCCGCTTGTCTCGTCTCTGAAATTCTTTCTTCTGTTCCTCTCTTCTTCTGCTCCTCTTCCTCCTTCTCTTTGAATTCTCTTCTTTTGTTTTTTTCCTGCCATCCGGTTTGCTTTCTTTCTTCATCTTCAGCAATCCCAGCCTATTTGTTCATCGTTAACGACTGATTTACGTTCATGGCGCACTGTCTCTGGGTCCCTGTCCATCAGCTTCAGGGTTTGGAAGAACATTCGGATGCTGTCAATAAAGGAGCATCCTTGGTGCTCTCTGAGCTGGGTTCTTTCCTTGCAGATGTTTCATGACCCAAAGATGATCAGTGCTTGAAGGGAGTGGGATTTGTGGACAGGAGGAGGAGGAGGAGGAGGAAGAGGAGGAGGAGGAGGAGGAGGAGGAGGAGGAGGAGGAGGAGACATCTTTGGTGTTCTCTGAACCTCGTGGTTTTCTTGCACATATTTCATTACCCAATCAAGTGTCATCATAGTGCTAGAAGGAAGGAGGGGTTGAAGAGGAGGAATGGGAGGAAGTGGAGGAGGAGGGGAAGAGGAGGAGGAGGAGGAGGAGGAGGAGGAGGAGGAGGAGGAGGAGGAGGAGGAGAACGACTGTGGGGTCCTTGGTGCTCTCTGAGCTTGGTGGTTTTCTTGGAGACATTTCATGACCCTACTAAGTAACATCATCAGTGCTAGAAGGGAGGAGGAGGAGGAGGAGGAGGAGGAGGAGGAGGAGGAGAACGACTGTGGGGTCCTTGGTGCTCTCTGAGCTTGGTGGTTTTCTTGGAGACATTTCATGACCCTACTAAGTAACATCATCAGTGCTAGAAGGGAGGAGGAGGAGGAGGAGGAGGAGGAGGAGGAGGAAGAGGAGGAGGAGGAGGAGGAAGAGGAGGAGGAGGAGGAGGAGAACAACTGTAGGATCCTTGGTGCTCTCTGAGCTTGGTGGTTTTCTTGCCGACATTTCATGATCCAACTAGGTAACATCATCAATGCTAGAAGGAAGGGGGGTTTGCGAGGAGGAGGAGGAGGAGGAGGAGGAGGAGGAGGAGGAGGAGGAGGAGGAGAACTGTAGGATCCTTGGTGCTCTCTGAGCTTGGTGGTTTTCTTGCCAACATTTCATGACCCAACTGGATAGCATCCTCAGTGCTAGCATCAGTAGCACTGTTGTTATTGCCTACTTTGGGCCATGAAACATCTGGAAGAAAACAGCCAAGCTCAGAGAGCACCAAGGACCCCTCATTTTGATGCTACCTTTTGAAAAATTGGGGTGTACGCTCCAACAGGACACTCTTTGCTTCTACAAAACGGGCGCAGCCTTAAAGAACAGAGGTTATTTCACCGTTCTCATTCTCATGTCATCTCTCCAGATTTTTATAAAGTGTGCAGAATCCTCTGGTCCATCCACAGAGGCTGACCACGCAGTGGCCACCCTTGGAGTTCACATCAGGAGGCTGTGAGAATCTAGCAAGCAGGGTGCTAAGGACGCAACAGCCCAAATGATTAAACATTACAGGGAAACCTGAGTTTAGCCATGGGGAACATCTTGGGATTCGTTTCGAAGCTACCCAGCTGGTAGGTAAACTATAGCTGTGTGAAGCTGCAATTACTCGCCCCAAGCCGAGATAAATTCGATTTACAGGGATCGTAATTGGTCCCCAAAGGGGTGTTTCTGCTCCGGGGAATCTGACTCTCAAACAACAATCAAACCTGCATACACAGTGTAATTTTTAAAGAGAGCTGTTTTGCTAACATCGTAAAGGATTCTGTTACGGTTTAATTCCCAACTTCTTCTTTTTTTTCCCTGTTAAAATACCAAATTAGCGAGCCCGGACTCTCTTTTTGGGGGGTCTCTTTGCCTCGTCAGAAGGGGTAATACGTTTCCCAGATGCCCAGATTTGGGGACGGTTTTCACAAAATAGACCATATCAACCATGGCTAAGCACAATTTATTGGGGTTAAAATCTTTCGAGCTGCTGCAAAACAGCCTTTCGTCAACCTCTGCCGTCTTCGGCTGCAGCTCACTCACCTGAATAAATTGCCAAGCTTTTTTGCGTCAGATAATTATGGGTGCAATGATTTGATATCCCAAAGGGCAGAGGGTGAACTTAAGAGGGGCAAAAAAAAAACAAAACCTGAGGGCATCAGAAGGCAAAGGGATGCAGATGCTTCCAGGCTGATCAACAGCAATCACCAGCCTGTATTTGGGTGCAAAACCAACTTTTATCCCACCAAGGGTTTTCCTACAGCCGTGCAAGTGGATTGGGTGGCTTTGTTTTTTTATTTATTTCTCTAAAATGCAAACATTCTCGACGGGGTTTTCCATCCTCCGTGGACTCTCTCGGAGGAGGATTTAAAGATTAAGTCCATCCTGCATGCTTTGAAGGATCTCAACTGTGGTGTTGAAGTTCAGAAGTTCTCCTCTGGTTTTTCCACCGAGTAGGGGGTCCAAAATGGTACAAAACCCCACACCGTGGGCCACGGGACAGAAGGATCAGCCCTTGTTTCTCTTGAGAAGGGATCCACCTCATCCTGAGACACCCCCCTTCTTCAGTTGGGGGGATCCTTATCTTGAAATGAGGCCCCCAACCAGGCAAGGTGGACCAGGAAAAAATCTCTCTAGCCTTGTCTGCTCAGTCCCCTCCAGAAATGCAATGGTGGGGCTCCAAAAATCCACTGGACGAGGCAAGGATAAACACACACACACATGCCTCGCATCAGCTCTCTGGCTGAAAAAGCCGCATCTGCCACTGACATCGCCGTGCAGAGGTGTCCACCCAACTGCGCACATCTGGTTTTGCGATCCTCCATCCAGGCTAGTTTCGTTTAAACAGCCCTAAGGGAAGAAAGGAAGCCAGAGAAAGTCAGAGAAAAGGTCAGTTGGAGACACAGGCAGTCCTCAACTCACGACCACAAGGGAGCCCAGAATGTCCGTCCTTAAGCAAGACCGCTGTGAAATGAGTTTTGCCCCAGCGTCCCTAAGAGAATCCCTTCCGTTGTAAAAGAGAGTCACCTGGTCGTTAAGCCAATCCGGCTTTCCCCTACTGACTTTGCTGGTCAGAAGATCGGCAAAGGGCATCGCGTGACACACACACACACCCCGGAACACTGCAAACAGTCCTAAGTACATGTCAGTTGCCGAGCATCCGAATTTTGATCACGTGACCACAGGGAGACAAAGTGGGAAAACAGTCACAAATCAGTGTCGTCGTAACTTGGAACGGCCGCTAAAAGAATGGTTGTAAGCCGAGGGCTACCTGTATACAATAGTTCAGACATACATCCCAGCCATACAAAGAGGGGGGGGTGTCCCAAACAAAAGTGGCCCCCAACTCTAACCTACATTGGCAGATCCCTCCCTTCGGGGACGTGAGAAGTAACTGGATCGGAAATGTAATCAAAACCCTGGTACATATTATAATATCCAAAATACATATTTTATCTATTTGAATATCATCTTGTTATCAAGTGAGATAAGGGAAATTTTGGTTACCCAAAGTCTGAAAATTATAAATATTAAAGGTCAAAGGTCAAAGGTCTATTCTATTTTATTCTATTCTATTCATTATTCTATTCTACTCGGTTCTACTCGACTCTAATCTATTCTACTTTACTCTACTCTATATACTCTATTCTATTCTATTCTATTCTATTCTATTCTATTCTTTCATAATTCTATTCTATTCCATTCCATTCCATTCATTATTCTATTCTATTCTATTCTATTCTATTCTATTCTATTCTTTCATAATTCTATTCTATTCCATTCCATTCCATTCCATTCATTATTCTATTCTATTCTATTCTATTCTATTCTATTCTATTCTATTCTATTCTATTCTATTCTATTCTTTCATAATTCTATTCTATTCCATTCCATTCATTATTCTATTCTATTCTATTCTATTCTATTCTATTCTATTCTATTCTATTCTATTCTTTCATAATTCTATTCTATTCCATTCCATTCCATTCATTATTCTATTCTATTCTATTCTATTCTATTCTATTCTATTCTATTCTATTTTCTATTCTATTCTTATTCTGAGGGACTGGCTCAAAGTCACCCAGCTGTCCTTCATGCCTAGAACTCACCGTCTCCTGGTGATTGGCCCAAAGTCACCCCACTGTCTTTTATGCATAAGGTGGGACTAGAATTCACCGTCTCCCGGTGATTGGTCTACAGTCACGCAGGCAGCTTTCGTGCATAAGGTGGGACTAGAACTCACAGTTCCTAGCCTGGTGCCTTAACCATTAAGCCAAACTGGCTCTTTTGATTGAATGCAAACTCAGCCACTCCACCCAAGTGGGGCCTGCCTAGCAGGGTGTGGGGGGTGTGGGGGGGTGTCTCCTTACCTGCAGCATTTACTGCACAGATGATGATGATGGCCGATCCCAGCATGATGGACAGGATACTCAGGAACCTGGCCACACGGCCCAGGCGGCGGGCTCCGTCCACGTCCCCTTGGAGGTTGCTGTTCCTCGACTGAGGGAAAGAGAAGAGAGGAGAAATGGGCAGTTCGGGAAAGGAAGAACGTTTGGGCCAGCCTTGCGAGGTAGGCCAGACAAGGAGGGCCAGTTCTTTTGTTTCCTGTAAGGTTACATTAAAAGAATCTTGCAAGGTCTCCCTGGGGGGGGGGAGGGAGAGGGCAGTGGGTGCTTGTGACAGATGATAGATAGATGGACAGATAGATAGATAGATAAGTAAGTAGGTAGATAGACAGACAGACAGACAGACATAGATAGAAAGAAAGAAAGAAAGATATATAGAGAGAGAAGATGAAAGAAGAAAGAAAGAAAAGATAGATGATAGATGATAGATGGATAGATGAAAGAAAAACAGATAGATGATAGATGATCGACAGAGAGAAAGAGAGAAGAAAGAAAGAAAGTTGATAGATATAGAGATGAAAGAAGAAAAGAAAGCAAGAAAAGATAGCAGGTAGATAGATAGATAGATAGAGATAGAGGATGGATAGATGAAAGAAAGAAAGAAAGAAAAGAAAAAGAAAGAAAGAAAGAAAAGATAGATGATAGATGATAGAGACATAAAGAAAGAAAGAAAGAAAGAAAGAAAGGATAGAAGAGATAGATAGATAGATAGATAGATAGATAGATAGATAGATAGATAGAAAGAGATAGATGATGGATAGAGAAAGAGAGATGAAAGAACGAAAGAGAAAGATGATAGATGATAGAGAAAGAAAGAAAGAAAGAAAGAAAGAAAGAAAGAAAAAGAAAGAAAGAAAGAAAGAAAGAAAGAAAGAAAGAAAGAAAGAAGATAGAGATATAGATAGTCTCTGCTCAAGCAGGAGACGATAGCCAGCCATTCCAGACAAGTGACTCTTAACTCCCTTCTTAAAAGACTCCAGTGATGGAGCAACCACAACTTCTAGAGACCAGCTGTTCCACAGGTTAATTGTTCTTACTGTCGGGCAATTTCTGCTTCGTTCTAGGCTAGATAATAAAATGGCGGTGCATCCTTCCCCCCACCTTTGCAGCCCCAGCCAACTAGGGAGGGTCCCCTTTGAGGCCTTTGTCAGGTCCCTCTTCCTTCTCCGGGCTCAGCTGCCTCTTTGCGGACCCCTGCCCAGTTTTGAGGCTCTCCCTCCTGCCCCCCCCCCCAGGCCCTTCCTTCCCACAGACCGTGACCACTTGCGATCTGTTCCTGCAAATCTGTTGTTGACCCACAAACGTCCTGTTCCGCCTTCTTGGCACATGGACAGCCATTTGCCCCTTGCAGGGTGGGGGGCCCTTAAGAGGGACCCCCGGCACGGAACGCCTGCCCCCCAATGGAGCCAGAGTCCCAGGCTGTCTGTTTGTACGTCACTGTCTGGCCACACTGCCCCATATCCCATAAACTATGCCTGCTAAGGCCTTAGACCAGTGGTTCTCAACCTTTCTAATGCCGCGACCCCATAATACAGTTTCCCATGTTGTGGTGACCCCCAACCACTTATACATCACCGAGTGCCAGGGGCGTGGCCAAAGAAAAGGGGGAAAAAATGGCGGACAGCCTTGTTTGGCGACCCCCATGAAATGGTCGTTCGACCCCAAATGGGGTCCCGACCCACAGGTTGAGAACCACTGTTTTAGAGTGTCCTCCTCCTCCTCTCAGCAAACCCCACTCTTTTCTTGTTACCTAGTTGGGTCATGAAAGGTCTGGAAGAACAAAACCAACCTCAAAGTGCCAGGGACATTACAGTTCTCCTTCTCCTCCTTCTCCTCCTCCTCCTCCTTCTCCACTTTGTCCTTCTCTTCCTCCTCCTCCTCCTCCTTCTCCTCCTCCTTCTCCACTTTGTCCTTCTCTTCCTCCTCCTCCTCCTCCTCCTCCTCCTTCTCCTCCTCCTTCTCCACCTTGTCCTTCTCTTCCTCCTCCTTCTCCTCCTTCTTTTTCTCTTCCTCTTCCTCCTCTTCCTCCTCCTTCTCCTCCTTCTCCTTCTTCTCCTCCTCCTTCTCCACCTTGTCCTTCTCTTCCTCCTCCTTCTCCTCCTTCTCTTTCTCTTCCTCTTCCTCCTCCTCCTTCTCCTCCTTCTCCACCTTGTCCTTCTCTTCCTCTTCTTCTTCTCTTTCTCCTCCTCTTCCTCCTCCTTCTTCTCCTCCTCCTCCTTCTCCACCTTGTCCTTCTCTTCCTCCTCCTTCTCCTCCTTCTCTTTCTCTTCCTCCTCCTCCTTCTTCTCCTCCTCCTTCTCCACCTTGTCCTTCTCTTCCTCTTCTCCTTCTCTTTCTCCTCCTCCTCTTCCTCCTCCTTCTCCTCCTTCTTCTCCTCCTCCTCCTCCTCCTTCTCTTTCTTCTCCTCCTCCTCCTCCACCTTGTCCTCTTCCTCCTCCTCCTCTTCCTCCTCCTTCTCTTCCTCCTCCTTCTCTTCCTCCTCCTTCTCTTTTTCCTCCTCTTCCTCCTCCTCCTCCTCCTTCTCCACCTTGTCCTTCT